TGTACCGTACCGTATAAATATGTTTTTGTTAAGGTCTGTCAGTGGGTATCGTACAAACTACAGTAGTGATATCTTTTCATTGTTTTTCTCTCTTTGGATAGGATAGTAATTACAGAATTATTTTTGCGATTACTGAATTTACAGTTTAAACATTGTTAAACAAATACAGTATGAAGAATGTTCAAACCTCCGAGACTTCCTCAACGTCCATATCATTACAACATTCTTCACCTGAAGTTATTCAACTTGCAACAAACTATGCATCCAATTATCTGGATTATGTTGAAAACTTGCCATTTGATTTACAGAGAAATGTGACAAAACTTAGAGAAGTGGATCAGAAATGCAGAGGTGAGTAATTATTATAATTTTATAGGTACGGTATCTGAAAGATCAATGTCTGAATGTTGAATAAATAAATACTAGAATGAGAAAACTTTGTAATTACAGACTTATGAACATGGGTTCAATATCTGAATATGTCTTATATGCGTGCTCATAGATTTTACACTCAGTCAAGCAGAAGGATTTAATATTCAGTATTATATGAATGCAAATAGTTGTGCAAATATTATTTTTACTTTGAAAATTTTATATCATACTTTTTGAATCATTCATTTGCTACACCAACACTTGACTTTTTTTCCTATTTTTCAACATCACTATTTACTGTACGGCATGGAATTCATTGTTGTAGTGTATACACTGGAAAGTTATCGCTTCATCAGAATTAAATTTGTCATTTGTATCTGATAGCTCCATATCTTACCAGATTTTAGAGATTGAAGCATTTTTAGTAACATTCAAATTTTAAAAACTCACAAACGATATGTATGAGTTTCGTATTATACTGAGTTTGTGCACATTAGTATCTTAGTCAATTATGCATGTGTCATAGTATGATATATGTGGGATCTTTTTGTACAGAGCATGTCAAAGAAATTGAAACTTTGTATGAAGGCTTCATGAAGGAGAACGATGGAAGTACAGGTGTTAGGAAAAGAACTTATTTATTACAGATACGTCGATTATTTGGACTTTGCAAAGAATTGGGAGATGAAAAGATCGCTATAGCTCAAAGTGTAAGCACAATTTTTTATTTTGTATGTATTTTCTCAACAATTTCTTACGACAATCCAGAAATTTTCAGATTTTTCAAGTAAACTTTTCTTATATTCAAATGAAAGATGATCAATGGTTATACCAGATTTGGATTTGTTGCTAAACTCAACTGAAGCAATTTTTTTTTCCTAATCAAAATCTAGATGGCGGAGGAAATAGAAATGAGAAATAAGCAATTGGAGCATGGTTGCAGAAGGTTCAAACTCTCCTATGAGCCGAACATGAAGTCAGATCATAATGGAAAAAAAGACAAGGAAGGAGTATGTAGCGAACTCTATATCCAGTTCCTCACAGACTTACAGTTTAACTTTGCAAACAATAATCTTTCAATTCATAACTCAATGTAAAGTAGAATTGTCATACATGGTCCATATGTCTATTTAAGCTTTCTTCAAATTATCATTATTTTCGCTGCTGGCAGAAATCAGAAGCAGGAAAAGGTCACAAACGCTCTCGAAGGCAGCGTAACAATCAATCAGTTGAAAAGCAAGAGAAAGTGAATCATTCACACAAGGTAATATTCCAGTTTTTTAAAGACTATTTCTGCTTGAGAATACAAGAACTTATCCTTCCTTATGAAAAAGGCGGGTTTAGAAGGACCAGATTTTTCTGCCTATGCTAATTATCGGTATACCGTTTTTTGTATTCTGTTTTTATGATGGGTTTGCTCGAATAACAGGGCGGGTTCACACTACGAATATTCAAGCATTCGATGTCAATATATGCCAGCTGACATAATATCCACAAAACTTATTAAGAGCATTAGGTTTACGTTTTTAACAGTTTAATAAAAAAGGGATGAATATGCCAAAGTTCACTTGCTACACATGCTTGGATTAACATCATATTTCATTTTCTACTTATTGGCCATTCATGTACATTGACAATACACCATTAATTGTGTGGGGTATGTATATGATGATCATGGACTCCTGGTTTATCTATTCAAATCTTCCTAATTCATTATTTCACTCAGGACCAAGAAAGGGTTACCAAAAGTCATCAAGAAGATGTGGATGAACCACCAGCTAAAGTTATGGCACCATCATCTCCCGAGCATTCCTCAATAACAATACCTACCCCTGCACTAACCAGAGCTGCACAGAGAGATGAAGATAAAAGGTTTGTTTCGGATTCACTCAGTAATGGCCAAAACGATATATGCATTCTTAAAAAATGCTAAATTATTTCAGTCCTTCTGTGGCATAGTTCACTCCTTATGGAGTCATATATTGTTGTGTGAGAAAATCAATTATTCTGTCAATAATTAGGTTGTCCAACAAGTCGTCCAAAGACAAAAAAGAAGAGAAGCATGAAAAAGCCGAAGAACCTGTTTCTGCAACAACTTCATCATCCACAAAAACTATATCTGAATTATCGTCTACTACTCCTAGCACAGCATCGACAACTTCTGGCACCCCATCGACTCCCACCACTTCCAAACAAAATAAAAATGCATCGGCATCAGCAACATCTACTAATTCTACGAACAAAAATACAAACAAAGGAAAGAAAAAGAAACGAAAGTCAAACAAAGTAAGTTCTGCTACAATTTTAACAGAAGTACCTAGTGAATCGTGCTATCTATATAGTGGTCCATGCGTATTATATTCGAATAATGTAATGTACAAGAACTTAAGGATAAAATGAATTGAGCTAAATGACTTGCAATAGAACTTTATAATGTTTGGAATTATTACATTGTAACGCAAAATTGTGATTTAATTGTTGAGGCGAATTTCTGGTTGTTCAATATTGTACTGTGAATCAAGACTAATGAAAATCTTGGTTTATTCCCTCAGCCTCGCATATATATATCACACTTTTATTTTTGCCTGATATTTAGATATTTTAAAAAACCATAGTATAAATTATTGAACATGTTTTGTGTTATTAATATGCTCCATATTATATTCTTTACTTCTAGCACCAAACAGAAAAGCAATCCAGCAACAGTGGTGAAGTATCACCCATTGTTGACATGCCGATCGATCCAGATGAACCAACCTATTGCCTCTGTCAACAAGTTTCATTCGGGCAAATGATTGGTTGCGATAATATGAAATGTCCAATCGAGTGGTTTCATTTTTCATGTGTTAGACTCACACACAAGCCGAAAGGAAAATGGTTTTGCCCAGACTGCACAACAAAGAGAAAACGAGAGGGAAAACGGGGAGATAATAGATGAACTTCTACTTCCAGTTAAAATCCAGCTCTAATTTTCAGAAGTGACAATCATCTTGATTTAAACATTTTTCATTAATGTCAGCCCGGCCAAAAATGTATTTTTTTTTTGCACACTCCCCATTTTGTGTATTTAATATTCACAGAAATACACTTCAACTAACTTCCTTTATGAATCTTTGATTTTAATAGCCCCTTGTCTGAAAATATTTACTTATATGTACACGTATTATCAATCCAATATAAAATGAGAAGAGAAAAAAATTCTATGTGTACATGCAAAAAAAAACAATTATCCTAACCTCTGAAACATATAATTGGAACTAAATAAGATTTTTGATTGTATTTAATATCAGATTTTGAGAAAACGATGAGGTGTATTATTCTATATGTGATAAGTTGAATAAAACCTTGTTTCTCAAGCTGCTAGAAATATGAAAGCTGCTTAGAATCTTACTTGGTTTCTTGTCTGAATCTAACAAATTTAGCTTTCAGCTTAAAGTGGACACCAGGTAACTTGTCTAAGGAACTTTCCTTAGCATTTTAGCGTTGTAAGTAGACTTGCCTCTAAGTAAGCATTATAAAGCGATCTGGATCTTGCACATTTTCTGCAAATGAGAAAGTTGACCCACAATGTTGAAATAATCATATTCATCCTGGGATTGAGGATATAGTCAAGATAGATTAATTCTATGTTGCGAGGAGTAGTTGCCAGTTCAGGTATTGAAATCCTGGCCAGATGATGCTTGCATCTGTATTGGGGAAACTGAAAAGCTGTATTAAGCAACCGAGAAGTGTCCAGCTATCTTTTCCATAAAGACTGCCCAACAGAAGATTTGTTTACTGTTATTCTGGCCAAAATTTAAGACATGGAACCAGTTAAATGTACATGGGTAGGCAGTGGTAGATCTGGATATATAACCAATACTTAATAGCATATCTGTACGATGATCACACGTGAGAAGAAAAATTCGCAGTATGGTATTCAACTATTCATGTTAACTGCTGAACAGATGTCGCTTCGGTCACCACAGGAATCGGGTTCTGCGTCGTCACATAGATGTCAGCATATATCTTCATGTATGGATAAATAGTCACAATTTCCCTAGTCTAGCATATAGATGAGCCTAGCCTAGCAAGTCAAAATTTGCTGGTGATGTATTAACTACTTGTTGAATGTGAACACGACTAAGTACCCATATACAGTTTTTAACATTCAACAGAACTTTGACGGGTTTGATCAAAGAATGATAAATTGTAATGTCCAACTTTCTGAACTAACTGTAGTCAATTACTTTGGAACATTACTTTATGAGCAAACTAAGTGATTCAGTTTGAAGTACGCCTGGGACAGAAACGCGACTAAAACATCCCTCTCTTCTTTTAAAATCTGAAGGAATTTCCTCCCTATGAAAGCATTTATTATTCATTTCAAAAGAGTTTGAAACTATGCTCAATCTTTTTTTGCTCAATATAATTTGTCATACTTATGGAAACCCGAAATGTCACATTTACAGTGCATCATGAGGTGAACTTAGTTGTAGTACACAATATCATTAATCAAAGAACTTAAGGAACCAACAAAATAAATAGAAGATGAAACTGATCAAATATAAGAAACGAGAATGAACACTTATCGGCCTTTCAAATCCAATGCCATTTTGTTCAGAGCACTGCCGGCTTTGAACCAACCTATTTGTCCCTCATTGAACGTATGGTTAAGGGAGAAGCTTTCAGTAGAACCATCAGCATGAGTAAGTTTGCATGTAAGAGGTTTACCCGGTTCGAAATCTGTAAGTCCAAGTATAGCAATCTTGTCATCAGGCTGTATTTTGTCATAGTCTGCTGGATTCGAAAACGTTAGTGGCAGCATGCCTTGTTTTTTAAGATTGGTTTCATGGATTCTCGCGAAGCTCTTTACTATAATCGCACGTCCTCCAAGATGGCGCGGTTCCAATGCAGCATGTTCACGACTGCTACCTTCTCCGTAATTCTCATCACCAATGACAACCCATCCGACACCGTTAGCTTTGTAGTGTCGTCCCACATCAGGTACTGCTCCATATTCTCCAGTCAATTGATTTTTGACTTTGTTGGCTTCATCATTCTCAATATTGATGGCACCGATCAGTAGGTTATTTGATATGTTATCAAGATGCCCTCTGTATTTCAACCATGGTCCAGCCATACTGATATGATCAGTTGTACATTTTCCTTTGGCTTTAATCAAGACCTGCAATCCTTCCAAGTCGGTTCCTTCCCATGCTTTAAAGGGTTCTAGAAGCTGTAGGCGTTGAGATTGAGGATCAACGTTGACCTTCAAAGCTGAACCATCGGCGGGAAATGCTTGGTAAGTGTCTTCGCCGGCATCAAAACCCTTCGATGGAAGCTCATCACCAGTTGGAGGTTCCAACATGAAATCTGAACCATCTGCGGCTTTCAAGGTGTCAGTTTCAGGATTGTAACGCAAGTCTCCAGAAAATGCCAACGCAGTTACTATTTCTGGAGATGTAACGAAAGCGTGAGTAGCAGGGTTGGCATCATTTCTTCCAGTGAAGTTACGGTTGTAAGATGTAACAATAGTGTTTTTTTCGCCCATAGCAACATCCTTTCTATCCCATTGTCCAATACAAGGACCACAGGCATTTGCAAGAACGACGCCACCAACTTGACGAAAGATTTCTGCAAATCCATCTCTCTCTATAGTGGCTCTGATTTGCTCAGAACCTGGGGTGATAGTGAAAAGGGATTTCGTAGTAAGACCCTTGTCAAGAGCTTGTTTACAAATATGTGCTGACCTTCCCATATCTTCGTAACTGCTGTTTGTACAGCTGCCAATAAGACTGACCTTAACTTCAGTAGGCCATCCGTTCTTTTCGGCATTTTCACCAACTTCAGACACTGGGTTGTAAAGATCAGGAGTAAAAGGGCCATTTAATGCTGGTTTTAACTCATCAAGGTTAATCTTGATAAGTTCGTCATATTGGGCACCTTTGTCTGGCGTTAAAATATCTTTGTATTCTTCAGCAGCTTCAGCAATTTCATGTCTATCTGTTGCAACAAGGTAATCCCTCATTCTAGAATTGAAAGGAAAAACAGATGTTGTTGCTCCAATTTCAGCTCCCATGTTGCATATCGTACCCATTCCAGTACAAGATATGGAGTCTACTCCAGGGCCATGATATTCAACAATTGCACCAGTTCCGCCCTTAACAGTGAGAATATCAGCTACTTTCAGAATTACATCTTTAGGTGAAGTCCATCCTGATAATTTGCCTGTGAGCTCAACACCAATTACGTTCGGACATTTCAATTCCCAAGGTATATTTGCCATAACGTCAACGGCATCAGCACCACCAACACCAATACAAAGTCCACCAAGTCCTCCACCATTTGGAGTATGGCTATCTGTACCAATAAGAAGAACGCCAGGGAAGGCATAATTTTCCAAAATAATTTGATGGATGATACCAGATCCTGGTTTCCAGAAACCTACACCATATTTGGCACCAGAAGATTGTAAGAAGTCATAAACTTCCTTGTTTATGTCTTTTGCACGAGCAAGATCTTTATCACCGCCTATCTGAGCCTGAATCAAATGGTCACAATGTATAGTGGAAGGCACAGCAACTTTGGGCAGCCCACTGCTGATAAATTGGAGCATTGCCATTTGCGCTGTAGCATCCTGCATAGCAACTCGATCCGGTCTCAATTTCAAATACGATTCGCCTCGTTTGATGTCCTGGCCATGAGGGTCGTCTAAATGCCCATATAAGACTTTTTCACTTAAGGTTAAAGGTCGCTGAAGACGATCTCGAACAATCTTGATATTGTTTTCCAGCTTATCATAAGCTATATTCATATTAGGCTCAAATTTGCTCATCGCTGGAGCAGCTCTTGCAGAAACTTTAGCAGAGAGAGTTAGATTTCGAATATGCATCATTCTGATGCTACCCATCTTGCTATACTTCATTAAAGTCGCCATTCTGTTCACTGACAAAGACGGCAGACCAAAAAAGAATACTATTTAACAAAAACACTGGAAAACAAATCATTATGCATTTATATGAAGTGGGAAATTTCGATTCACTGATTTGAGGAATACAGACTTTAGCAGCCGAAGCAAAATAACATTGTTGGACGCTCCCGTAGTATGTGAACCAAGATGGCAGATTAGGGTTAAGCCATAATTTTATTCCAATTTTCCTTATTTTAGTTCTAATACAAGTTCGGGGACTAGCCAAGTGACTCCCGTAGTATTTGAACCTGAAATAATGGCCTAACCCTAACTTGTACACATACTACGTTCCGGGGTCTGCCATCTTGGTTCACATACTACAGGAGTACCCATGGTTGTTATAGACCATTGGTTATCATTTGGGGGTCAATAGGTCGGATAAAGGTTTTTTAGGGTCCACAAGATTTGCGTTCACATAGGTTCAAATCAAAGTAGTAAAACTGTTTAAGTTTCTCATTCATATTGTCATTTTATTCTGTTATTGCTGTATTGAGCTTAATGGGATATTGATATCATTATTTACTGAACACACATCATACTTCAAATTCAAGAGCATTTAAGTTTTGATGAGAAACATTGGTGCGGGTGGGACGCATTGTTACACAACATGACTGATATTATATTAGGAGGTAAGTTACACAACTTATCGGTATCTTTACTTGGTATCTTACATTCATGTGCTTCGAACAAATCGATTTTTTGAAAAGTTTAATTAAAAGTATTTTGGTAAAACAGAATACCAATTTGCCAAAAGACGACAAAAATTTGAATTCCTCCGAGCATAGGCTAGATACCGGTAGGGTGATAGGGGACCTAACATAGTTCTAGTGGACGTAGCATGACAATTTTTCACGTATCAATCCTAACACCCACCTGACTACAGCATCCAAAAATTACGTCAACACGACGTCACAGTGACGTAAAGGAGCCCTACAAACTATACGAACTGCCATCCAAGACGCGCAAATGAGCCTCGAAATTGAACAGTTATTTCTCTCGTTTTCTCGTCGCAACGATTCCAATAGGAGAGAGATCGATAATGTCAGTCAGTTCTTTATCGTCGGCGCCAATGCCATTCGGGCGATTGCTTGTATATTTGGCAAGCTCTATGACGTGATTGTGATGTTGTAGTGACGTAATTTTTGGATGGCGTAGTCAGATGAGGTTTAGGATTGGATTGATATATCAAAAAATTGTTATGCTACGCCCACAAGTACGTTAGGTACGAAACTACACGAGACCTGGATGATAGGTACCGTACCACTGTACCAGTAATTATTAAACTGCAGTTGTACAATTTCTTCCACTTACACAGTACCGTACAGCAGTACCGGTAATAGGCCTAGGTCAGTAAGTCTTTCAGGTCAATGCCGCCCATTGTAAAATATTTTAAATTAAAGTACGATTACCGTACCTAGACTACTACCGTACAATATCAAATTTTACACTGGCAGTGTACGGACACGTCGGACAGTCAAACAGTTCTATGATTACACTACACACAGACACTAGAGAAGTTTGCAACCAAAAGGCAGTTGAGTTGGTGAATAAATAAAATACCTCAATATTATAAACTTGCAACTTGTCTGCCCGTCTAGTCAGTGCATGGACCCGCTGTCAGGCTGCGCCAACGATTACAGAATTACCGGTATCACGGTACCGGTATGTAATTTATAGACATGTCAGGATATCAGGCTACCAAGCGTGCGACCTTCAAGAAGAAGGTCAGTCGTGAATAGAGTTTTCAGAAAATCTGGAGCCATCGATGACGGATGGAGGTAAAAAAAAATACGGGTACGATAATTTGCGGTCACTGTAGAGCTGGGCCGCGATTGGGCTGAACCAAACTTATATTCACTGAAAACACTTGTTCGGATAATATTTAGTGCGTCAGTAATGACGTAATAGTTGTATAATGTCACATGGCGTGACGTTACAAAAACATGGCGAAATAGACTGACATCATGAAATCAATTTGGGTTGTTTACTGCCTTTGCGAGATTACGACGATCAGATCCAAATATTTAGTTTTGTCGTACAAACAATGACTTGGAACATGCCATTGGTGCAACATCGCAGGACAATAAAATTTAAAATACCGGCAGCTGATTTGTGACTGTAAGTTTTGATTGCAGATTGTTTTTTTTCCTGATAATTTTTTTTAAATGTGTCCGTGCACAGAATTTACCAGCAAAGTTTTGATTTACCTTTGTATTCATTTTGGACCACTTTATCACCTTTCGGCAATGCACAATCAGTGTAGCTTTTCATGGCTTTTGAGTATCTCCGTCACTTTGTCACACTGCGTTCCACACGTTATCAGTATTCTTCACGCTCTGAAGTCAAAACAATATATATATTCGTCCAGAAGTCATGTTTGCGTACCGAGTTGGTGGGATAGGATTTACATATTTATCCCGGGGGAGAGGAAAGCCGATAAGACGGCTTATCCATATGGCGAACCACGGCCTCTCGTCCAGTTACCATTCCAAGTCGGGTATGGGATTAGTTTTACTGTATTGTTTGTTTTCGGAAGCATGGACTTGGTGGTGGAGGAAGCCGTAACCGACCAGCGGTTACGTGAACCACCCAACGACGGCGAGGAGTCCAGCAATCCTCTCGCACATAACCATCCCTGCATGGGATTCGAACCTGCGAACCCACGCAGAGTAATTAGATGTGCGGTGGCGAGCGTATTCCTAACGCTTAGCCCGTTGAGCCACACCGCCGCGCCACATATTTATCCCGGGGAGAGGAAAGCCGATAAGACGGCTTAATCATATGGCGAACCATGGCCTTTCGTCCGGTTACCAGTCCAAGTCGGGTATGGGATCAGTTAGCCAGTTATTTGTTTTCGGAAGCATGGACTTGACGGTAGAGGAAGCCGTAACCGACCAGCGGTTACGTGAACCACCCTACGGCGGCGAGGAGTCCAGTAATCCTCTCGCACATAATCATTCTCGCATGGGATTCGAACATGCGAACTCACGCAAGGTAATCAGAGATGCGATGTCAAGCGTATTCCTAACGCTTAACACGATGCGCCACACCGTCGAGCCTGGTATAATTTATTGTCGCGCTCTGTGTGGCCAATGACATTGTCATTGGTGTGGCCAATGACGTTTAATGTCATTGGTGTGGCTGTTGTTAATTTTTCGGATATTTCAGGATATATCGTTGTAATTTAATCTGTCACCTATATACGGCTATACCTATTATACCTACAATTTGGATCCCGCGATGGTTTGTCTACTAGACTAGACTCTAGACTAGAGCAGGGTCGTCCAACCCATGGCCCGCGCGGTATTTTACAAGCCAGAAATTTTCAAAGGGGGGTGGGGGTGTTCTGAATTTTTTTTGCCAAGTTAGATCGAAACAGTTAGCGGGTCCGATCGAACGCTGGAATACGCGTGTTTTTAGTAGTCGTGGGGGTCTAAAATGCATTTCAAGCTACGAAAAATTGCTATCTATGATGTATACGAAAAATGATTTTATTTTTTTTACATTTAAAAAAAGAGGGGGGGGGGGGTCGACCCGCAAAACCACCCGCCTGGCTACGCCACTGACTGATACGGACGATTTGTCCATTTAAGCTAGTTGTAGGCCTATTCTACCTCCCTACATTTTTTACAACGAGCCGTGAATTTTATATAGTGCATGGTGTGTTTCGTGATTTTGATTTGTTCGTTCCGGCCACCTACATCCCAATATTGGTTCTCCTTATAACACATGTACCAAATCTTGCGCTGTAATGTATATTGATATTTTTATTTCCCGAAAGACCGCGCGTTTTGCTTAACAAAATCGAAAGTTATTGCGCAATCATTATTCGAGGTAAATGATAGGAATAAATTTCCAACCCAAATTTAATTTATTATGATTGTTATCATTCGCGTAGGCTTTGATCATCCTTATCGCTACTGTAAAATAAAAAATATACTGTACAATATCTTTGCTACTGGCTTTTTTGAGTTGGATCGAACTTCTGAAATTTAGTCACTGCGTAAATATTTTGAAGCCATTTATATTAGAATGACCCCCATGCGGTTGATGTTTAACAATCGAATAATGTTAAAGTGGATATGTTCACTGTTGTTCCTAGCACATTCCTCACGACATGCTATTATCGTGTTTCCCGAAAATAAGACATACTATGAAAATAAAAACCTAGCATGAATTTCAAAAATGATTTTAATATAAGCCCTCCCCTTAAAATAAGACATAGTCGATAACGCAATCTTTTGTTGACCTGGTCGATAGCAGGAAATATTTCCTACTCGTTTTAAAGGATTAATAATCTATGTTTAGCTGTTATTTTTAATAGAAACTTGTTATTTATAAGTAAATGGATATGTTTTTAATATTTTGAATATTTGAAATCTCGTAATTCTCTTATAGGAAATAAAAGACATCACCCCAAAATAAGCCCTAGTGTTAATTTTCGAAAAAAATTTGAAATAAGACACTATTTTATTTTCGGGGAAACACGGTAGGTGGTTAGGACCATGATAGTTTGACTGTCTCCGTATGTACATTACCACGACAAATGGCTGAATTTGTACGTATCATTTCGTGCACTAAATATACCGTGACAGCCACTGAATTATACGCACCAAACAATCACTTCAAACGTTAACATCTTGAAATATACAAATGCTCCATAAATAGCTTGTCGTTTTTGAATATTCTCCCCAAATTGCCTCTCTGCTTTGAAACATTTTGTAGCGAGATAACAAACTGCTACTCAAAGATATTGACAGTGTTATAGCCTGCATCGTGCCGGGAGATTGTATTTTGTCTCTCCTCATTTTCAACCAAACTTGGGTTAATTAAGGTGAATTTTCTTTAATTCGTCGATTTAGTTTACGTATCAATAGAAAATGACGATATGTGTTTGAGACGTAGGTGTAAATTCTAGGACAGGTGCAGTTACTGCTACGAAAAAGTAATGATGATAAAAGTAGTTTTGGAATACCTGTCCTATGCTCTCATTTTGTATTGGTTTACTTCAAAATCATAACGATTTCAAATGACGCAGAAACAGGAAGATAAATTCCGCGAGTATGATTCTAGTTGCTAGAATAAAAGGACCTCCAAAAGTATGTGCCCTATGTGTGAACATAGTATGTGTACCAGGTTGTGCGCCATCTTGGTGCACATACTTCGGGAGCGCCGAATAAAAATATTTGCGAAATGTCTGTGTCAAAAGCACAGTTGTTTCTCGGTCAAGTTTCATCGGCATTTTGACGAGTTCAAGCAAAGCCATATCGTTAAGAAGACTCAGGTCAGGTTGAATTTATAAACTTCATTCGTATCGAGTAAATGATTAAAGTCTGCTTAACACTTTACCCTACACTGAAAGTTGCGAAACATGCTGAATAAACGTATAGCATATATATATTTCACCACCGGGTTTATATTATAGTTTATCATTGTAGACGATTTGTATGTATTTAATTGTTTTACAAGAAGTAACTATAGTAGAATTAAACAAACAGAAACGCAAATATTCATTTGATTCACATTCGCTTCAGTCAGATTCCCTTTTCAAGATTTAATGAGCTCGGAAGAAAAAAAATTCGAAGAATAGTTATTTTATGTGCCAGCAAACCTTCGGTGATGCCTTCTCATCAGTATGCGAAATCCCATTCATATGCTGTAATCAAATAATATAAAAATTAAATTATGTATTAATAGTTTCCTAATGTCACTGATGTTCACTTGGCCTACATAAACCGAGGTTGAGGAATATATCGGAATTGTCACGAGTTGTCATATATAGTACAAGATAGAACATTTGGCCTTCATGATATATATATATATATATATATAACTAAACTAGTTACTATATTTTATGATGATTTCATTTTTAGGACATAGCTTTGAATAGGGCAAATCCAGAAAATATATCTGAAATTAGCAAATGAATGATTTCTGAAATTTCGTGTTTGTATTAGAAAGTTCTACATTTTTCTGATACACATAAGCTAATTGAACTGAAAAAAAAATCAAAAATCTTTTTTATTGGATTTGGGATTCGCTCCAGCAAAATTGAAGTCACGAAATCATAAAATTAAGAAGGAAGTTTTAGGTTATCGAAAATAACCATGACTTCATTTTTGAAAGTGACTCACTTCCTTTTTAAATTACTTAATACCGAATCAAATTTTATATTCAACCTAATTATTGAATATTAAATTGTATTGGAAAACCGAATTGATGTTATTACATGATATGATTGAAGTAGATTAAATGAATAATTTTTTGATTATAAATAATTACCATAAAGATATTCGCTAAATGTTTTTTACTGAGAATTTTGTACCAGATGGGAAACCTTGATGAATTACATATGTTTTCATTTTATCATTAAGTTAATTGCTGAGGGTAAACGCCACAAATCTGTCACCAATAAAAGTGTTAAATTAATATTCACAATAGTGTTTTCAATACGGATTGCTGAAGTTGGTAAAATATTTGTTTTGTGGTCCAGCGACTCAAATAATTTATGTTATTGCTGATGCACCCCTGAAAGGACTGCCGTCATTTAAATTCTACAACACATACTTTATGAAACAGTTTCATGGAATGAATTTTTGCCTAGATCAGGGGTCGGCAAACTACGGCCCGCGGGGCGGATCCGGCCCGCGGAGTAATATAATCCGGCCCGCGATGCTTCACTGAATTATAGTAACAAAACAGCTGTTTTTGACGATTAAATTCTTCACACAACAGAATTTGTTGTGAGACACTTGTAGACTAAATTATAATATAACCTAACAAGTTTATAATTCACGATTACTCGTTTAATGAGCCTATAATTCAATTAGAATTAGACAAATGGCAACAAAACGCAGAGAAGGTAATGCTAAACCTAAAGGCAAAGGTTTCAATGGCGCCGAAAATACTCGAATGATTTTTTTTTAGATGCAATGCAATGAGGAAATATATCTATATCTTATTTGAGAGATGTATCACCGCTTGATTTTCATTATAAAAAGTATCATCTGTTCGGTTTTCAACTTTCTAAAAATATGTGCGACCCACCAATGACTTGCAACCCTTAATTTTGGCCCGCGAGCGACAAAAGGTTGCCGACCCCTGGCCTAGATAAATTTTTTCCATTGTAAATTTTAAATCCTACCGCGATGGCAATTCTTTGTAACTTCGTACGATCCCACGAAAAACTTAGCCATACATCCATTGCAGCATGATATGCATTTTGCGGAAGGATATCTTGGACAACTCGTTACGTCACATGCATCTGCCTTGCACGCTTGGGCTGTACATATCTGCGGACAGTATTCTATAAAAATGAAATGAATTATAAATTTCAATCTCCATTGGACTTCAATGAAACTGCTACTGGGCTACCGTATGGACAGCCAGTCTCACCTTTGAAGGATTTTCACTCAAGTGATTTACTACCAATCAGGTACAGAAATATGTTAAACAATTGTATTTGGTCTATTCGAAAGAGCAAACATTGAAAAACTTCACAAACATTTTCTAGAACCAAAAGTGAGCAATAGCCACTGTAACAATATATACACTTTAGATAAGTCCACTGCCTGGCGGAGGCATGTTATGTGGTGTAAATTATTAGGATTTGGGTAAATTTTATGCGAGTAAAATGTTAATAACTGCGAAAAAGAAAAACGAATATCTCCTGAAAGAAGAGAGCGATGCTCAAATATATGGACACGAAGCCAAAACGGAGTTGCATCAAATTTTATACAGGGGTACCTGGGGTCTATTTTATAAAAAAAAAAACTCTCGACTTTGCTTATCACGTTATCGCTGAAATGCGATTGCGCTACCGCCACACATTGCGCAATTTTTAATTTTGATGATGTCATCCCACAACACACTTCAAAATGAAAAACGAATCCCATACAGCCCACAGAAATTTTTGAGGTGAATAAAAGCAAATAGCCTTCCAGCGACAACAACAATCTTTAACTAAAATTTCAAATCCATTGGTCCAGTAGGTGAAGATAAAGACAATTTTTTCACAAAAACAACATCAACAAGAATAGTCAGACAACAACAACAATAATTTACCAAAACAATTCATAGGTTCATTTCGTGTCCAATAGGCAATAAATTGTCATTCCCAACACTTGTTCAGATAGAATATATGTATCCAAAACTTACCACACAATTCTGTCACGTCCCAATTCAAAATACCGGTATAAAATCTTGCAATGCAACCGTTACAGCATGATCTACATTTCGCAAAAGGTACACTCGGGCAAAATGTAACGTCACATGCATCTGTTTTACAAACTTGGCCGTAACATCCTGGGCAATCTAGCAAACATTCAGAATATTATTCATATATCTATGGGAATATTATGAGATCAGGTCTCTGGGTTTTGATAGGCTTGTTATGAGTCGTTACTCTTGAGTCTTTCATAAAGAATAAAAATTTTACTCGATTCAAATTGTCATTTTTATTGCTTTAAAAGTGCCAACTTTAAGACAGATGTCAACTACGATTGCTGTCAACTCCAAGTCGGGTCAATTTCGAGTCCTTGGCGAAAGACCTGATAAGGTTTGATCAGTTGAAGCTCTACGAATAAAATACAAAGCATAGTCGAATCTGACTCAAGAATCACCCGAGTCGATGTAACAAATTACTGTCATTTAATCTTTGACTTATTAGCGTAGTATTTCTGTTCGTGAGAAATTGGGTACAACTTCAAAAAAGATTTGCAATGAAACTAAAACATCACGTTAGACTTCATACAATTGCTTACAAATAAATTCAATAAGATACTACTTACTGCTACTCCACGCGGGGGTGAAAAGGAACACCACGATTGTTAACAACAACAAATTAACGGTGATCGAAGGCGACATTTTTGTGTTTAGCCCTGGCTACATTAAATTCAAATAAGCTGCTGATTGGATTAAAATATTCAAATCCGAGAAAATTGACATTCTGTATAAATTGCCACTGGGCTTTTTTGTCCGTCATAATGTTTTAATTCGATTTTTACTCAGTGGTTTTAATTAGATGTAATCTTGTATATACTGGTATATATATACTGACCCACACTTAGAATAGGTATATTCCACAATTGAAGATACATTCCGTTACGGTAGACCGCCTCCGTCACATTTGTGAGCCCATTCTTTCAGCAAACTGGATGCTCAGCAGAGTACCAGTACCAATGCGCGATCTCCGCGTGCATATATTTGAGATCATTTGTATTTTTACACAAACATATTTCACAAAGCATGTCAGCAAACATATACACTGTTTAAGAATATTTTCAAATAAGATGGTAATATTTAAAAAAAAAATGTAAACTTTGAAAACCATTAAGTACAATGAATTTATCAAGTAATCAAAATTTGGTTGATAAAATAGTATTTTCTTCCTTTTTGAAATTGAACCTTAGCGCCAATTTAGATTCCTGAACTGTGTGGATCTTGAGTCGTATTGATATGTGAACCACACGGAAAGATCCGTTGGAGCACTGTTGAATATACACAATCGTTCGATACACCAAGTTACAACAGAATCGGTCGGAGGCACAAGGAATGTATGTGTATTATTTATTGTAGCCACATGAATTTCGGAAATGTTCTTCTTGTATTTTTGTAAATTGTTTTTATTTTGGCGTTCTCAGGTCAGTCTGATCCAAGTTTTGAATGACCATCAATAGTAATAGCAGTACATTAATTGTAAATGTTGCGCACACACGTTGATCCCTGAATATGCGCAGGTGAAAAGTCATGAGTTATTTCGCCAAGCTTTTTTGCTCCATTTATTTGATTTTTTTTTCTTCATCGATTTATACACTCGCTACAACATTATCTCATCACTCGTTGGTTTTCCATTTCTTACCGTTACGATATTCTAAAATAAATAAATTTTAAGTTTTAATTTTCAGATAATTCTCAACCTGTGTTTTTTAGGCATTAGGATGTCTTATATTAAAATTGTTCTAATACAAAAGCAACATAGCATGTCTTTCTCATGGGAACTGCATATTGCAGATATAAAAAAAAAATTAAATCGTTATATATATATATCTTTTAATTGATATGAAGTACATAATTACATGTACATCACTATAAAAATCTAAAACGGCAGTTTTGTGAGCCAACTAAATTTTGATTTTTATAACCACCGGAAAACTCCGTTAATCGCAAATAAACTCTAAATCAACCAGTGTGATATTGTTTTTAGGATAGTTTTTCTAGGATTTCATTTCGGTAAAGAAATGAGGAAAAGAATGGTTATGAGATGAATCACGACCGATTAACAGTTGAATCGTTCCAGATGCATAACTTGAATGGTGCATGAAATCGTATAATAGTCAACTTTTACGTCAACAACGAAAGTAAAACGCGAATGATTCTGTGGTCTACTCTAGGAGGTGCGATGTCTCGGTCATATCCTCCTACGTAAGGTGATTGGGATGGTTCAACACTTACGATTGAACAATCACTATAGAGGTTGTAAATACCAGTATGCTCCACCTACTTCGTTGGCTAGAACATTTAAATCATCACATATTGGAATGTTGTCCTCCCAGTCTATTCCAAACCGTAAAATTCTTCTGATGGATTCAGGAATCCATGATCGGAAAAACCAATGATCAAACGGTGGTCTCAACAGATTTTGCGGAACATGTTTTCTTTGTCTCCATCCACCTAAACATATTATAACAAAAAATGTTACTAATATTTTATCAACGTTCTGTTTCTTCGTATTTTAGTCGTTATTGCTGCTGACATGTTGTACTAAATATTTACCATAATATATATACCGGTATATGCAGCTAAGTGTTCAACACACAACTGGTCGTGCAAGTTAGTAAATGTAATCTTGGTGCTATCTGGAGTAATGTTTCGCCCATTAATCTGACCCTCATAAAATAAAAATTTAAACCGAGCCCAAAAACTATTTAGTAAATCTATACAGATACATGAAATTGCAATACTTAATTCAGGATCAAGTGGTCTATCATGAGTTTTATGGTAGTTAACCAAATTGTTCAAATATATATATCATCGTTTTATATGTTGCACTCCAAAATGACTCAGTTTCGAAATTGTATATACATATATAAAATCGAAAAACTTACATGATAACAGACTAACAATTATTCCAAAAAACAGGGTCACTGCAAATCCAATGCATCCGTAGTATAAATAAGATACTGAATAGAAATTGACGATTGACGGAATCTCAGTGCTTGCTTCTGGAACATCAGTAACAAACTGGCTTGTTTCCATCATCGTTGGGACCGGACTTGTCGTAATGTTAACAAATGTCAAATTCTTACTAGGGCAGCCGTCCGTAATTGTTGGCAGTGCATTCGATATTCCCGTGTAAATATTTTTTCGTCTAGAGTCAGCGGCGCCTACATACATCCACGATGTGCAAGCAAGGCCAAATCCAAGACCTGCAGCAGCACCCTGCAAATTCAAGGTGAATTTTCACATGTTGTATTGGCTACATTTATAATGAATTGATACCCGCGGAATGTTTTCATCAAAGGATCGCTAGTTGTCATAGGCGTTGATATGACATAATCACTCCTACCCGTCTATTGCTTATCTAGAATAAAAAATAATGTGAATATTGCTATACGCCATATCTGACGTTACATGGCGTCCAAAAAGTTATTTTTTGAAAGCATACAGTGTGTAAAAAACTTGTCGGAACATGCCGATTGCAATCTTTAATGTTTATGATATCATATTTATTTTCACTTACCCAGGAGTTAGCAAAGGCAAACATTATTCCTAATGTATACACTCCTATAAGAGGTCCACCAACAATACCAAATATGCTAATTGCTGCTTGTAAAACGCCTCCAAGTTGTGAAGCAATGTATGCCATTCCGATACACGCCAAACCATACAGTATTCCCAAACCTAAAAAGTAATTAATTCATTGAATACTCTTTGAACTCGAGTTCCCAGAACGACACTAATCTCTCGTCGCGGCAGCGGATAAGAGCGCTATATTTAGACGAATTTGACTGAACATAGATAAAATAATAAGAGCCATTATATACCTTTATTATCTGAACATAGGACCAAAATGATTGGCCAAACTAAAAAATCTGATCACCACGTGTTTATGGGGTTCCGCCGGAAACATCAAGGCTAATTTTTCACTGTTTGATATCATTGAAATTACGAATAAGTTTCATCAACGATCAACTTGGGAGACATGATGGCACCGGTAACGCACCTGGTCAGTGTTTCACATTTTGCGGCCTCATTCGAATTTCGAAAGTACTATATTTGCTACATTCTTGATACTGCCATATTTACAACGGATTTTAAACAAAGTCTCATTTCCAAATTGTTATTGGATAATATTCATCTATCGAGCCGACTATAAACGTATGTATTTTAGTCGATTATATGCTAAAAAAATAAAGATACGAGAATTTGCGGGCCAACAATGACAAATAGACGAGAATTTCCCAAAATTATTATAAAGAAAAAGAACGAACTGGAGAAAGGAAAGTCGGAAAAACTGCGTAATTGCGTAACAACGTTATTTAGGTCAAGTTTACGCAATGGTTATTTGGCCTCGAGGTAAATATTGAATGAAATGCTTATAAAATGTGAATGGTGCATCATAAATTCAATCTGATAGTACCACTAGAAAGGTACGGTATGTATAATCTCGACAAACGCTGTCGATAATGTAATAGGTCAAATCGATAACAAAGCCAATAAATTGATTGAATTTAGGACCATTTAAAAAAGAAAAATTATGTTTTGTAATTTTGCCAATTTTAGTAAGATAACCGCAACATGCTCATTTAATTTTGAAATTATAAATTGTCTTTAAGATTATCTTTAACACGATGTAACGCAAAAGCGGCTTTCAGGGTCAGAAGACGTTCTCGGAAAAGCCGCAAAAGCGGCTTTTAGGGTTCAAAGAGTTAACAATAAAAACTTTCACTACTGAATTGATATCGAGCAACCAAAGCAAGTTAGGTTATTCGAATATATTATGCATAAATACCTCGTGATATCCAACTTCTGTATTTCTTTGAGATATTTGTGCAAGGTTTGATGAAATCTTCAACAGTAACGCAAGCCATTGCGTTGATTCCCGTGGAAATCGTACTGGTAGAAAAACAACGATTCCATTATGTAACGTACAAACAACGTGTATATAAGTCTGAAATTTGCCTCTGGAGTACCGTTTAATAGTTGTGTATTGGTGAAAACCCAATCCAAATTCGATGTTTGATTTATACTCAACTAGGAATGATTTGTCTCCATATCAAGTTATAAACTTTAGAGTTACGAAATTAGTATGATTGCTACACAAAATGACTTGTCTAGAATAATATTAATTTAAAATAGCGTTACCAACCTTAATCCACCGGAATAAACACAAGCAACAAATATCCCTGGAACTCCTGGATAATCTTGAAGTATTTCCATAACCAAATAAGGCAATAGCTGAAATATAATAACAAGAGCTCGAATAAAAGAACACGAAAGTCAAATGTCATACAAAAGTGTTTTCGTGAATTAATATAAAACAGCAAAGTTTGGATTTGGATTGTAGAGAAGCGATGTTATTCGCAACAACAACAATTTGGCAAACGATCCATATGTAGCATACACTTCGCGTCCAATAATTGAAATGATGACAATTTGCGTACTATGATGAAATCCTCTAGATATATATGTTCGTATCAAACGCTAGAGATTTCGGAATGAAACTGGGCATTTTATTGTTTAGTACAAGTACTAAGAACTTCGCATCGGGAGTAAGAAATAGGGTACTCCCGTAGTGTGTGTACCAGGTTAGGGTTAGGCCATAATTTTATTCCAATTTTCCTTATCCTAATTCTATTACGAGTTCGGGTACTGTCTGTGTTAGCCAAGTGAATATACCCCTGCCCATAGTAATCAGTCCCGTTGCACAACTTGATGTGGAGTAGGCGAACAATTTTCCTTATTCTAATTCTATTACGAGTTCGAGGACTGTCTGTGTTAGCCAAGTGAATGTACCCCCTGCCCAGAGTAATATTTGCACAACTTGATGTAGAGCAGGCAAACAAAATTAATTACCTCCATATTGGTACACACACTTCTGGAGCGACTGAAATATTATATTAGGTTGTGTCGGACCGATAAACTCTTGGTCTGTTCCAAACCTCTTAGCTCTCTATACCTGCGTATGGCTTCTTTTAAAGTGACTCTCCGTATTTTATTCAACTTAGAACTTCTAGCTTAATAATGTTACCTACCCTGTCTCTGCTTTTTGGAGGTATTTTCCCGTCTTTTATTGGATCGCACTTATGGAAATACGCATATGTTACCAATCCTGTCAAGCATGTTAATGTAATCACAATCAGCAATCCAAATGCGTTTAAAAACAAAGCCCTGAAAATATGTAATAATGTAATGCTAAATAAATTGTAAAGGTGAGAGGAAGCAAGAATTGCATTGAGTAGAATGACACGAACATTCAATGCACGATCATTTGACATGGGACATTTATACCAAATCTAGTTGAAGCATTTTTGATGAAGAACTGTCCCATATTTGATCAACAAATAAAAGCAAAATAATATTGAAAATAATAGCGCTGTCGGCATAATGCATCTACTTACATTTTTGCTTCGCGTTCCGACCTACAACAAATGTATCGTTGTATTTGTGACTGAGAAACTGCGTATAAACCCAGCCATAAAAATGTTCCTCCTACAAGAAGTGTCCATATTGAATGACGCACTTTGGGATCAGGGTCGACGCTGGAAAAATATTAAATCATGTTAATATACTAACACAAACCAATAGCTTCCTAAGTCACCAATATTTCATGATAAATATATTTTTACTTGTATCCACCTGAGAGCATGAAGTGTTCAATATGGCTTATCTATAATATTTTCCCCATTTTACAGTGTTATTACGACATTTGAAGGTCAAGGCAATTTAGGTTATTGTAACCGTTTAGTGTTACACAACATATCTTGGAAATCTCTGGGAAAATGTTTAACTTGGCAGAAAAATTATTTCATTTATCCTATAATTACATTGCCATGTTTAGTCTTCCTCCCTCGCCGCTAATCTCCCAGATGTTTGTGAAACCGCCCATTATTACGCTTCCTCTTATCAAAACAGCAAGTAGTCCACTGATCATCACAGCTGCTTGAAAAACATCGGTCCAAATAACGCCTTTCAGACCTCCCTATAAGATGTGAACGAAATGAAGTCAACTTTGCAATAAAAACCAATTGAGCCCCAGAACACATCTGAATGCGATTGCTATTTGCCGGTATCAAGCATTTGTAATCGAAGACAATTATATTTGTGAAATTAATATGAAATTAAGAAAAGTATCCAATTTGAAATTGTATCACTAGATTTCATTTTAAATCAGTATTTTGTATCAGACAAAAAGTAAATGCCGACTTTAACGAGTTTATCTTACCAATGTTGTGTAAAAAGTACAGACGAGCCCAGTGGATAAAACAGCAGCCCATAAGTTGAATCCTGTCACTGCAAAATAAAAGCAGTGAGAAACATCATTTAGAAAATAATGATAATCACAAACTTTATGGCGAGGACCAATCTAATAAAAGTTTTTATAATTTGTCTGCAGGTATCAGTTCTCTGGTATAGAAAATTTTCAAATTATAGAATAGCATACTAAACCAACTAAAGCCGGTTTGTGATAATCATGTATGGGCATAACCGATGTTCATAATTTTATGAAATTTTATGGTAGACGAGAAGTCCAGTAATAATCTTGAACACAGTCATACTTCATACAACCAAAACGTTTGCGTTTTCTCCTAACACCAGCCAAGCCTTAGTTATACATAGCAGATGGAACTCTCTTGAATTTATAAAAAGGGCATCGTAGTAAATGTACCGGTAGTTGCCTAACAACAAAATATTCTTACCAATTAAGTGTTAATGGTGAAGTGATCATTTCATAGTGGTTAGAGTGATCTTTTTATTTTTTCAATTACTTTATACGACGAATGATTAGTCAATACAAAACATGCTAGTTCGAGAATTGACCCTTTCGTAAATGTGCTGATAAGAGGTTGTGATGTTTATTTCATTTTGCATAAGTTGCCCTATATCGGTCATGCAACTATGCAAGATATTTGTGTATGAGATGCGGATAAATCCCATAGGATTTAATACTTGATGTTTATTTAATTAGGTATATATTTACTACCTTGACTCAATGCCAACGAAGGGGCATAAATAACTATACCAGCATACATGATGGTCTCAACTATAAATGCAGCAGTTACAAGCACACGAACGACTCGATTGAATCTCATCTCAAGATACTGAATAATAAAAAGAAACGAGAATTAATAGACCATAAATTTTGCCCACTCGTTGACGGATGATCGGAAACGATTAGGCCTTAGAAGTTTGGGAGGGATTTTTATTACAACGATTTATTTCAAGTTGAAACGCATTCAACGTGTTGCTAAACTCATCGATGAACAAACGAGGTTCCCGTTTTGCTTCCATAAAATGTCTTGTTGCTGTAATGACCTAACGTACGCATGGAGTTATCACCTCGTTTGAAATGCGAGGCGTAGAATGTCACGATGTTCTGTCTGGGTGGGTTCGCATTTTGGATGTCTAATTAGACACGTAGGGCAAGTATCATAAGGTTTAACCAGTAATCCCCAAAATTGTTCAATCGAGACTATGAGATAGATTCCAAACCATTAAACAACCATTTAAAAGGCTTTTGTCATCTTTGAAACCCTTGTATGTGTCTACAAAATTGGTTGCTGATTTCAAACTCTATTAGTTTATTTATTAATATATATATATATTGCATATTCAAACCTCGTATGAACTTTTAATGTCAAGTCTGTAGAAGATTGGAATATAAACTTCAGAAATAATTCCCGCTGCGATAAAAAACGCGGGTACCAACCTGAAAAATGTATTTGACTTTAATACAAGACAAATAAATATCTAACTTGTGACTATTATTAGTATATATGTTTTGTAGTGATTTTCAAATTATCTTAGCTGTTTATTCTAGCGCGACGCCCCCGCAAATTTTTATCCTAATAACAGCTCCTCTTTATCACGGTACTTACCACCAAAGCATCATGCCATAAGTATAGATTTCAGCCGGGTTTCCAAGAATCGTTATTGCCGACATGAAACTTACGGTTAGAGAAAGTGCAACGGGGATATAATGCATTTTCCTGTATACAAAAAGTTTAAATTCACTAATAAATCGTCAATAATATTTATAAATATCAACGAATTAAAACTTCTGTAGGTTGACAGCATGTGAAAAAGACATTAATATAATACAATCTGTAAACCATTTGCAAACTGGAACCACTTTGATGCGGGAGTGGTATTTATGCCAGACTCTAAGTATATGACGCACAGAAATATCACAGAGTAAAACCAATTCGAAGATACAACTCGCGCTTTAAAAGGTAGGTGGTACACGTTTAATAACTGCAAACAAGTTTGGTGAATATTTCAATTAATGACGATCGGTCGTGAGCTCTTCATATAACAATGAAGCTCATTGAAAAGCAAAAGCTCAGCGAAAGTTTTCGAATGGCGTACGTGTCGACATAATAAACGAGTATAATTGCCCAATACTTTCACACTACTATATTTAAATTCCTGAAACTCGTTAGAATTTAGTTTCAGATAATCAAGGCGTCAATATCTCTTTTCAAGTGGTTTTGTGGAGAAAAGCCTTATTAAGAGAAGACAATGGAATATATCGGACATTTTATATCAATAAGTCCGTGAAATGAGACCCGAGTGATAATATCCAGCAGATTACAGAGAAAAGGTTATTCCATCGTAGTTACTCAATCGTTAAGTTTAAAGTAAACCAAAATATAATTCCATTTTATGCAAATTTTCAAGATTTGACAATGCAAATTGATTACTTGAATAAAATACAGCCATACATAAGGCATAACTGGAATCGAAAGCCGGTCATACTTAATCAGAGATATTCAGCGTCTCTTCAATCTAAGGCAATTTAATATTGGATAATTGATCTAATTATCTGACACATAATTATACTAATCATGATGAATCGAAAGGTAAGAGAAAAGAGCGCATGAAACATCGTATATACGAGAGTTAAAAATATTATTTTCATATATATTAATCATTTGAAATATTGGTTTTTAGAGTTAAAACTGAAAAGTATTTAAACGCTCGACTGCGACATTGGAAAATATTGTATCGATGTTTCAACGATTCATCAGAACACGCTGATAATAAGGTAATATGGTAAAGAGTAAAGAATTTTAACGGATTAATCCAACTCACAATGCCACGAAATATTTATTATTTCGCTTCCGCATAAGTAAACTCAAACCTCACCCCTTTGCCGAAGGTAGTCATCATTTCCACTAGATCTTCGTCTTGGCATCTCTGATAGCATAGAATATACCAACACCTGACGAAACTACTAGAACAAAGGACAATATAGCATAATCTCCTGGACCAAACGTAGTTCCACTTGCCACGTTTCTTCTTCCATGTGTTTTTATCGCTAGGCTGCTAAAACTTAACTGATTGAAAACAAAGAAAAAGTAAGTAATTTTACCTACACGAATTGCTATTGTCACGAAGCGCATAGTTATAGAAGGACACGAATAAAAATACGTTATTTTAGAACCTAACGCGGAAAGCTAATTGCAATGTTTAGCTTGACATTACCTTATCTCAACATTTTCCCATTAAAAGTCCATAGCCAGTAAATTATGTTTTGAATTGAGAATTTATTCACCGCATGAACACTTTGCCTATACCTATTATCCTATCCTATTACAGACAAGGTTAAACTGACGTCTATTCTTTGCCATACGCAAATATCAGTTGACTTGACACCCAACAATTACTAACATGAAGGTAGGAGTGGCGAATATAACTTACATTTCACATAAATTGTATGAGTCTATTCCTAAACTAATATGTACAACATTTTTCTATAGTTGGACGCATACGTTATTGCATAAGGAGAAACGCCGCCAGTGTGATCGAAGTTTTTGATGAGTTATGTTTAAATAAAGAATTTGAAATTTCATCAAATTTTCTGAAAAAAGTTTTGAGTCGCGTCGAAGCAATCCCTCATCCTTGCTTGTCGGCGGGTAATTTTAATAAGCCATAAGCCTGTCGAATACACGTAATATGCTGCTTTGCATTATCTGTATTGCATTTGTTATTACATATAAGAATGTATGTGCTGTCTTTATTATAAAGAAATTCATCTCCTTTCTAGATAAAAAAAATTACTCTACCAAAAATATTAACTCCCCGCGTTAGTGATACTTTTAATTGTTTTTCATTCGCAATCAAGACACAACCACTGCTTTGATTTGCCACAACAGCCAAGCGCCAGTACTCATAAATTCCCCTAAATTCAAATACCATCTCGTCACAAGTCATGATGCTGATGTCACAAAGAGTCATGAACATAGCCAAGCATGCCAGCGACACCAGATAATCATCTAAATTCAAAGCAACTCATTACAAATAGCTTTCTAGTTGCCTATTCTGAAGCTAAACACACACCATCACGCCCGAACGTTTGATGATCTTAGACGAGCGCATGCAGCCGTACGGCCGCAGGTTGTGCACCACTGCCCCAGATCTTGCCTATGTGAAATAGTTTCGTTTGTCACGGAATATGATGATTTCGTTTTGAATAACTAAATATTCAACTTCCTCGAGTTTATTAAAACTTCTGACCTATTTTTTGTTAATATTCCGTATAAATGTGAATGGGAAATGATGAATCGTTCATAGGAGTGTTGTACATGAAGTATGCTTCAAGTAAAATGCTCTAATGATCGATTGTTCCGCACGCAATTTGAAAAGTTAGTTTATAAAGTTGATCAAAAAATTTATAGTTTGATTTCAAAATAGTGATCCCAGCCCACAATCTCGTCCTTGTTTTGGATTCCAGAACATATACTGTTCCGTGGAAAAATTCTCACGATTTCACTGTAATAGCTTTGTGATTGCGTTAACGAATTTTTATACACAATAATATTCTGTTATAATCATTATTTTTTTGGCTCGTCTTATTATATTATCGATTGGCCAGCGACAAACCATGACAAGTATAGCAAAAGAAAGAACGTAATAGAGTACGTTGACAAATTACTGCCACAAAACCGCAAAATTGTTCACCCTATTCCCATTCGATAAATGATCATGGTTTATGAGTAATATCCGATACGCATTTTGAGCATGTTTAATGAATGTTGCCCTACTTTTGAAATGACCGTGTCGCGAGTGAGATCATCATTCAATTTCTTTTTCGATATAATTTATTGAGCCAAGTTTGAAAAGCTGTTACAAGTGTATTATAAGATTTCTACAACTAATGCAATATATTATGATGATAACTCATTGAATACACGAACATTTTATTTTAGTTCTTCTCTAGTTTGTTTTCACTTCAACAGTCTGCGTGATTCGGAAGGATAATTTCTGTCATCGTTTATTGCCTCTTCTTTTGTAAGGAAATGTAACCCAATAAAGAAGCGCCAAAACAAAAATTGGTCCGAATTCCGCTTGGGGGCATATGTAATGTCCAATGATGATAACGAGATGAAATGCAATATTTTTTATTTTGTATCGGCATTCAGGTTCGTAAAATAGTAGATAATAGAAGAAAATTCCGGTTTTCACATTTTACAAACAACCAGATTCAGTGGTTACGAAGTATGATTGCCGGGAACGCATAGCGATGATTGATAGATAGGTGGATAATCGCAAAAAAACAATCCTGACTCTCGCAGCATTTCTTCCCTCCTAAACTACAATTGATGATCCATGTGCACGCAGCTCATTTCGTACATGAGAATTCTACGAAAAACGTGACCCTGAAGAACATGGGAGTATTTTCAAAATATGTGAATATTCAAAAAAAAGAAGCGGCACACTCCAAAACCCTCGTCGTATTTCCCATTATGACATAATTTCTGTATTATGACCTCGCTTTTTGCGGAAGATCCTGAATATTGTCATATGATCTAAAACCTGTTTCTACCTGAAAATGTATAGATCCGCGCTTGTATGATCATAGCTTCAAATTAAACTAAAATTTTTTTTATCTTTTCCCCCAACCAATTGACATCCTAATGATTCATATATTTCTGCAGCCCACAAAACAAGAGATGAGCATACGCATATGTTGACCAGCACTTAAACTAATCGGGTTTATTCACTACGCAAGATGAATTATGAGCTCGTCTGTCAACGAGCCCTGATTATTTTATTGGAATGCTTTACAATTTGAATGACCTCGCTTCAACTCCTAACTATTCACTTGTTGCAATTTCATAATAAGCATAGTACTTTATGGTCTAACAATGCAAACAATCTCAAACTGCCTGTATTAAGTACGCTGTGAACATAATTGAATTCTTTTTACTTCCGCTGAGAATGTTGCCCCAGGGTTGACTATTATCATTTATAATAATCCATCCACACGTATAAATCGCTCTTCTTTTGTCAATTTATTCAGATTAGGTATGATCGATGAAAATGGAGCTACGAAGGCACCTCATCCAGTTCACGAAACAAAGCTTAGGGATTTTCACTTGTCAGCACCTTGTCATGCATGAATTCCACGTAAGTTTAATGACCTGCAACGTGTCTGCATTCCGAGTGATGACTCGGAGGAAGAGAGAACATCGCGAGTGACATTTTCTTATGGCTCAACGACAACTATTGGAAACTCGTTAATAACTTCACTTCATTAAGACTAGCTGCTGTCTCATCTGCTCAAAAATATAACGTGAAATAGCATATATCTTTGCAGGTAATATAATATGAAATTATATCCATTAACTTAGCGGTTCCCAAACTTTTTGTTCGTTCCACGCCACAATTTCAGGGAAAAACTCAAGGCGCACTTACAGCACGAAAAAAATGCTGCATTTGAATAAAACTCAGTTTTGGGATCGTTAATGTTTATATTATATGTCTTTTAAAGTTTGTAAACATGAAAGCTCAAGAAATAAAGGCAAAAAGTCAACTCTTCTTCCTCATCTCTGCCTGATTTTTAAACTCAGTTCAGCAGGTAAATAAGCTACAGCTCACGAAATTGCAGCAATTAGTGCCTATCTATTCTAGAGGCAGACACTACGTAACAGAAAGTCAACGACATAGAAAGGTAAATGAAGTTATTGATAAATTTACATAGCATTTAAAATAAGAAACGATATAACATTTATAATAAATACAATATGTAAATCATCCAATTATATTTTAGTCATGTTTAATACAATTCTGTTGATTATCGCGGCGCCCCCTTTGGGAACCGCTGCATTAACTCATAACTCAACATCGATATCGATCGAATTGAGTGGGGGTCATTGCTTGCAATGCCTTAGGGTGGATACCCATAGTAATACAATAGTATAAAAAACTTACGTTTTTGAGGTTAGTTTTTCATACGAATAGCAAAGCATGTTGTGGAGGCAATAGGGACAACAAACCATTTGTGTGAATATTTTTTGTTTGTTTGTTTCAAGAATAAAAATTGTCACATATGCTTGAGAAATAAAACACAAAAATTAAACTGTGATTTATGGTGTATGACATGTTATTTAATGTGCGGCCCGCGGCAAAACTGAAATATAGTTTGCGGCCCTCTAGGCATTTGGATTGGACATGGCTGGTCATCATTGATTTTGGTATGCGTGATATTCAGGATATGTGTGGTGTAACATATTTTTAGTATTGCTTCCTAAAATTTCCTCAATTTAGAGTCTTGCATCCCATTCCAGCCACTATAATATGTCAAGAATATGGCAAAGTGACTTCTCAACGCTAGTCGACATACGATAAACAAAAGACAGTTTTTAATATTGTTCTTTTATTTCAATCCAATTAATAAGAACTTTAGTGTACATTTTTTTTTCTTCTCACCATTTCATCATGGTATGACATCATAAAATACACCTGGAATGAGAAGTAATAATTCATATATATATATTGTTTAAATATATATCATAAATAATATAATAAACGGACATGTAATATATATCAGACCACCAGTAATCTACAAAAAAGGATTCGTCAGCAAACGATAGGCACATAGTGCAAACATCGGTCTGGAATTTGTTTCTCATTTTTATTATTTGTATTTTTTATATATTTTATTTGTCTGATACAGGGTCCATCATTAAATGTTGCTTAAAAATCCTATCTGGGATATAGGAAGCTATGGTCGCTCACACGAGCCCGCATTGCAATACGAATCGCTCGAACAGTCAGAATTTTTAGTGCAACCGCCTGAAAAAATTTTTTATATTAAAGTTGTAGTTTGATGCATACTATTTTTTGAATACCAACTATATGGAAAACTACACGGGGTGTCTCTAACATTTCGTGTTCCACCCATACCACGTGTCACTTTTACCACCTATCCCATTCATTACACATGTCCCGCAATATCCCATTCTCAAATCACTTGTCCCACTTTTCCAGCACTTATTCCACTCTTTTATTACTTGTCTCACTTGCATTTTTCCTCACGTGTCCCACATCTCCACACCACACACTAGTGGAACAAGTGTGAGACATATGGGACAAGTTTGAGGGAAAGTGTTGAACAAGTCTTGGATATGTACGGCATCATTTAGTCTATTTTAATATGTTTTATAGGTCGTTTTATCGAGAACGTGAAGAAATCTTTCGACGAGTTAAATATTTACTTGCCAATTATGTTTTGGTTTCTAATTCGGAAACTAAAATACATATTTCTATGTGACACAAAAGTCTTGCTCTTGAAGACCCGGCAAGGCTCTTGAAATTACACAGTTATAATATAGTCATATATAAACAACTTTCGATTTTTCGAAACTTACTTTCGACAAGGCCAGCCATGGCAATTTAAATAAATACAACCATCATGAATCCTGATAATATGATTTGACAGTAAAAAGATTTCATCTTGAATTAATGATTTCTAATGTATCTAAATTTTGCAACGTTATCCGTTTGAATGCTTTCAATTTAAAAACAGTAATTACGTAAATTTGCAGTAAATAGCGCGATATTAATATCGCCAAAGCCAAAGTTGCAAAAGATCCTATGCGAAGGTATGCATATATTATATGTAAATCAAGAATTCACATTGGCCAATGTGTACACGCTTGCTAACATCCTAATTTACTCATCAACTAGTCCAACCATATTTTTGTATTTTTTTCTGCTCTCATTCGGAATAAATATCTTCTTTGACGTATAAAGCAAGAACGGCCGAAAAACACCGAAGAGTGTTCAGTTCGTACCCAATATATTATGAAACTCTGGTAAGTCAGGCCAAATCAGCACCGAGTAATATTTCAGACATTAACAGTAAGTAGTCATGTCACTTTGCCAGCTGTAAAACTTTCTTTATGCAAACGCTTTATATATTGTATTGCTTGCATTTTATAGCGGAAGGCTGTTGGCATATATGCGACAGGCAGGAATTGAAAAATGAAAGCTGATTAGTCGGTTTTACGTTCTGGGTCCTTAACCGAAGCGTAACGTTTTGGGAATGGAAAATTTTATTGTTTTGGTAATTGAATTGCCAAATAAATTTGCTTATGATTTGCTAAATCATAAGTTAATAAGTGGACAAAATTTAAATCTTTAGCGACAATTAAATAGTTCGATTGAATTTACGTAAAACAAGCCTCCCAAATCATAGTAGCTAATACCTATAGTTGTAGTCTGTTGGCAATCATAATATATACAAAAGGTTGAATATGTCTGACGCAAATAGTTTACAGTATTTTCTTGGGAACGATATCATCTGGAATCTTCAGATTGACTCCTGGGTGAAAATCGCAAAATTTAGGAAGTTAATTTTTTGAAATATGAATGATTGTAATGAGTTCCTTGGTTTCGAAATACCGGCGCCGAGATAACTAACGTACTGCTGTTTTAGCGCTGAACGAATTCCGACATCAACATCCTTCATAGACGAAATCGGAAAAGTGCACAACGTGCTAATGTGCCAACTTTACATTCCAAAAACAATACAATGATACATTTGTTGCTTCATTTGTGTGTAACAGTCGATTTGATGGGTGAGACACTTTTTACAATTAATTAAGGTGAATAAAATATACGCAAAGCAACGTTACAACAGTCATTTAGACCAGGGGTGTGCAACCTTTATTACAGGCGGGCCAAATACAAGTATCTGGGTAAAGCCGCGGGCCGCACCTTCATTTAAGATAGATAGCCTTTCTAGTAGTTGTAGGCACAAAATGTTGTTTCTGTTTACTATGTATCTTACGCTTTGTTAGGATTAGGGGTCCTTGCAGAAATGGTGAGTGAAAACGTATAAATTTCTAAAGAGATCGCTATCCAAATTTATTGCCACACCGAATTTAAACGAATTCAGTGAGAAACACGTTTTTATAACATTCTGTATTTTGCAAGCTAGTTCTGCTAATATGACAGTGGCACTCAGTGCGACGCAAAGTGCTTGGAATTACTCGCACGTACCAGATTACCTAAAATCGTTTCGCGGGCTCACCATTCAAAATTGGTCTCCGCGGGCCGCACAATTTTTCCTTGCGGGCCGCATGTGGCCCGCGGGCCGCAGTTTGCACACCCCTGATTTAGACATCAGTCTTGGTAACGATTATTTCATTTTCGCGCCTAGCAATAGATGATTCCACTTAACTCCATATCATCACTACTTAAGAAGGCGAAGTCTTTAGTCAAGTTAGTAACGATAACATGATTTTCAGGTTGCATTGAGGCGAACGGCTAGACAAGGATTTCCCAAACTTTTTGAGATACGGACTCCTATTTGTGAATCCTAGTTTTGACGGACCACCATCCTAAGCCGTATCAATTTCTCTGCCTAACCAACGAGGAAGGATGATGTTTCCTGCACAACATAACAACACACCCAAACTCGTAGGTCCGACTCTACGGCAAGTCTCGACCTGTATTTTGTCATCATATTGGTAGGAACTGAAAATGCTGCCTTACACATCCAAGTCGTTGCAAAAGGCAATAAGACTTTAATTGCATTTTTTGACAGCAATGGATGTTCGTCCGCAACGCTCAAACAAAAAGATGCATGGCTTTTCGATTGAAATCAACCATTGAAGATCGACGAGACTCTTTCCAATTCATCGCGAAACGCCATTGCAGTCATCACGGACCTCCGTTTGGCAAACCCTGGGCTACATAACTATCGCTCGGGCTAGTAAATCGATCTCTTATTGCTCAAATAACTTTGAATTTCCATCTTTGATTGAATTATTTTATTCAATCAATTTAAACCACAAATACAAATATATATATTATATACAATGTTGCTAAATAACACCAAATGTTAAACATTCATAGCACCCACAAAATATTTTGTTAGTTGTATATACATACACATTTGTTCACTTTGCACCTGCAAAAAATGGTGAACAGTTGTAATATTAAATGAAATAATTCTATAAATTGTATAATTTTAAACTTTTAGCCCAAAATTTGTCTTCGGCTGCATATATTTTGATCTTGGTAATACAGAAAGAAAGAAAACCCATTCGGTCTATGGGCTAAACTTGGGTATTGAGGAAGTGAAAAAATCTGTTATAATAAAATTTACTCTATTCTTTAGTGTCGAATTTACTAAAAAAATTTACCACAATTGGCTTTGCAAGCTATGCATGCTTCCGATGAACCATCAAGAACACATATATCTTCGTCACACTCTTCAATGCATTCGTCTATCATTTTGTTCCTGACCATTGTCTTAACATCTGATGAATAAAATAAAATTTAGGTTATACGATTCTTATTGAAATATTTTAAAACAAAATCACGTGCACTCACTCGTAAAAGTAAAAAAATTAAAAAGCTTCCTTCAAGTAAACTCAATAGAAACCACTTCAATGCCTAAACCAGCGAAATCAATCAGAAACGCGATAAATAACAAATGTTTTCGCGACATTGTGTATGTCTTTGAATGGATATTTATAGACTGTCAAAGTTGAGCACAAATGGTACATCGTGATAAATTCCGGGTGCTCTTTAGAGTTTATACCAAATTTAAAGATATCTCAAATATTATATAAGATGATATCAGTTTATCATCATTAATTCCTAGGTTAAGATGAGTCTTGCCCTGCCCATCTACATATAGGACACATAGTTATTATTTTAATTTTTATAGAAAATTACATTTTAGTGAACATTATTGCCTTTTGCATAGTCTATGAGCGGTTTAAGGCTTTCAAATCAACAGAAGCTGTGGTTGATCGGATGTTCACAAAAATATCGTGATATTTATTACATTTTTATTTGAATACCTGCTGGAATGCAGTAGTCTATGCATCTTTGACAAGAACATCTGGATTTGACTCGACTGCAATCGTGTCCTAAAGAACATTGTTTCCTCGCCTCAACGACACATTCCACGTGATCAAAAAATGGCACGACGTCTTCGTCATATTCTGAGAAGAGAAAACAAAATGCACATTCATCACACAGGTTGAGTAAAAGTTTGAACCAGATGTTAAAAACTAAAGAAACTACTTAGAAGTCGTTAGAGAATTGTTTTCGAAATAGAAAAAAAACGGTGGTACTTTAATCGGAGTTGAAACTTAATGCAGATCCACCTACCGCATTTTGACGAAATGCATTTGTGACATGATGTCAAAGGGCTGTCTTTTGGCATCTCGCAGGAAGCTCTGCAATACGTTGTGAGACATTCAATTTTTTTTTGAGGGACGTACTCCAATTTAAACTCGGCGAATAAGACATCGTCTGCTGGCGTGTCAGGGCTTGCGTCTGGCGTGTCAGGGCTTGTGACAGATCTCACCAATCTGATCTCGCGTGCAGAGACGGACATCCCTTTAATGCAATAGATATATAATCTTAAATATATATCGTGATGTGGTTAGAGTCATTAATATGAACTCATTCGTTACACAATAAATTCGAAGTTGTGGAAGCTACAAACATTCACATACTAAAATCTAGCAAAAACAGTCAATAATAATTAATATTTCAGACAACTCTCGGATAGTTAAATACGTACATGGGCCCATGCTCATTGGCACTCTCAATTGCCTGATTTAGGAATTTTAATTTGAAAACAACATATTGTTTCATGGTACTGCTTTGTATGTACGAGCATATTGTATAAAATATAAAAAAAAGTTTCGTGATTCATACATATAGCTATTTATATTTTATACTTACTTTGAAAAATTACAAACGCTACTACCATGCTTGAGATAATGTTACTTTGCATCTTGAAATATTTTCACATGCAATTCAAAGGTAGAAAATCGTATTAAACTTTTTACTCACTTTGTCAAACATTCGTCTTGTCTTCTTATATATACTATTTAGCTGGTACTTGAGCTTCCCTTAGGCTTCAACTTAAATATAATGGGCTTGCCGTTATACTACTTCTTATATGAAATGAATATAATATTTTTCGATGGAACTGAGTTGCAAAGACAAAAATAGATACATAACAAAATTATAGGGCCCAGGTATAATTAAGTTGCAATTTAATCTAATATCCCGGATTAATTATTGTCAAGTCAGTTATGTAACTTTAAGTGAAAAATAGGACATCACAAGTATTATTTGTTGCGTAACATCCTTCTATACTGCGTAAATATTCTAATTATTGAAGAAAACAAAAATTATGTAAGAATTAATTATCTTGTAATAGGGATTTTGTTGTGAATCAAATTTTCATATTTTATTAGCGTCCTATTGCTTTGTTTTTTAATGTTATGGCTTTCGAAATATACACTACGGGTATGGTTGTTAGTTGTTAATTTTGATACTATCAGTAAAGCCATTCTCCACCAAGCTATGAAGCCTGTTTGATATCAGAAAGTTTTTGTCTAAGCCCAAAGTTCGGAGAAATCTTTATTTATTTTCGTCTTCACTCCATGGTCATAAAAATATCAAAAATTTTTCCTGTTCAAATATTTTGTTGCCACTTCAAATTGAGGGGAAATTAATAACTATTCATATTCACAGCCCTTTTGTATATGTATTATTTAAACAAGGTTCTTGCAACTTGAAAACCCTAAAATGCTGAGAGCGGTACAATATTTGTCACCTACAACATGACTCACTGAATTTGCAAACACTTCAAATGAAAAACGAGAATATCGGTCAGAGACCGAAGACTTATCGATCGAAACTTAGGGGATCTCCAAAACAGCGCTCTTACTCCATAGTGACACCTTGTGTCTCATCACTAATTAATTAATAACTCGCTAATTATACGACATAATTCATCCAAAATGAATAGGCTTCTGGTACGACATATAATGAATGCACGTGCAAAATCTTGAGCAGATTCAATCTTGCTTTCGTGAGATATCGCGTATATCTAACAGACAGACAAACAGACAAATACCTATCAACATACTTACCGATTAAAATCGATAAGTAAAAAATGAGCAACATACTGGTCATGCGTCTTCGTTTCACCGAACATCTTTTGACGTAAAAAAGTGGACAGAACTCGCTGGAAGAACTTCATTCGTTATGTAGCATGTACGGTTTCATAATCTTTGCACCAGTAATTGCACCCATGGCAATCGCGCCTGCATACATTTGCACCCATGAACAATTGCTGTCACCACCATGAACAGTATATATTCTTGCTACTCGCTTCAGGCATCGCATATTGGTGGCATAGAACTAATAATTTATTTCCCATAACCAGAAAGAAAATTGGATTTCGTGATTTTTGGTAAATAATCGATAGTGTTCTAAACTAAACAATCACAAATCTGCCATTCACCTCAGACTGCTGGGAATTGGCCACCGTTGTTTTCGCTTTTAAAAACAATAGTGATCGGACGAACTCTTGTAAATATCGCCCTATTAGTCTCTTGCCAATAATAAGCAAAGTATTGACTCATCAACACAATCATTACTGACTACTTAGAATCACATGCTATTTTAATTGACAAACAATACGGTTTTGTCGAAAGCGTTCCAATGTCAATTTTATAACTGCTACAACTAAAAAAACTCTTGACCTACATTATTACTTATTTTCAACAATCACCTTTCTGAATTTGAAAATAGACAAAATCGTATAATCCGATCGTTATATTAATCCTAATACAGCTTCAATCTCTTCTGTTTTAAGAGTGTGCGCGCGACCTTGTTTTGAGCAAATGTGACTAAGAAGGTCTCATTATCTTTGCATCCACCTACATTTGCACACAGAACAATTGCACCTGCATACCTTTGCACCCACGGACATTTGCATTCATTAACAACTGCACCCATACATTTGCACCTGCAGATTTTAGCATCTACATACAAATTGCACCCATGAACATTTCCACCCATGGATATTTGCACTCGTGGACATTTGCACCCACAGATATTGGCACCCACGGCTATTCGCACCCACGCACATTTGCATCTCTGAACACTTGCATTTATGGAATATTGCACCAGTAAACATTTACACCCATGGATACCAGTCATTGAAGTAAAATAAGTTTTATTGCCATTTGCGAGAATAGGGAATCCTAATGTTATATATGGTAATGAAGACGAACTCACTACAAACCCGAACGCGATCAATTTGAACGGGGTGCAAATGACCGTGGGTTCAAATGTACACGGGTCCAAATGTCCGTAGGTTCTATCTATATGTGGGTGCTAAAATCTATGAATAGAAATGTATAGGTGCGAATGTTAGTGAGTGCAAAAGTACTGATTACAATTTACGGGTGCAAATGTGCCGTCACTGCCTAAGAACGTGAGCTTGTCTTGATTCCGTCTTGAATATATGTTTTGTAAAATTTTGTTAAGTAAACTCTTATGGAGCATCGTAATAGCCACCGTCTTTGACGTTCTTATTGCTTGAATAACAAACACGCAGATGTAGCAGAAAATCCATATCAATTCTTTCAGTCTCCCCTAGAATAACTGCTTCAACAACAACCCCCATCCACTTTAACTTATGTTTTCCGAATCAGATATTCATTCCATCGTTTACCGCCGAATGATACGTATATATATGTGCAAAACAAAGCTGATGGACGCAATTGTTCAATTTCCAAATCTTTTTAGTACACTATTTTAATTTGTCGTAGCTGGCACCATATATTATGGGATAGTATAATACGGCAATTATCTCTTATACAAATATGAAAGTCGATCGTTAGGAAATCCCACAGCACAATGAAAACTCCATATACACGGTTTTTCAACTGTTATATATACATAGGAAAACACGCAATATCGGGCCAATATATCGGTTGAGCTCTAATCCTGTGCGACAATGGTGATTCATGCGTCCAGTCTCAACGTGAATCGAAATACAAAGGATACAAGTCACAACTGTAGTTTGAAATTTTACCGCTACCTGGTAGTCTACCTCAGGGTGTTTCAAGGTTGCTTGGTTGAAGGACCGCAAAAACTTTTGAGAAGGTTGCGCGGGCCGCAAGTCTGAAAAAACCCAAAAGTGATCGAAATATCGCGAGATTACATACTTTAAATTTAATAAACAACGAGAGTTTACCGTTCTAATCAGACTATTATTATGTTGCATGGGTGGCGTTCTTTTAAAGAAGATATATATATATATAAAGCTTTCAGTTATTTTAAAAATAATTCCCGAGAATTACCGTTGTATTTTCCGCATCTCGCGTTTAATGTCGCTTCAAATAATATTATTTTGTGACAGATATTACCTGAAAGCAAACCAGACACTGCGTGGTGGGCAAGGAAATATGTTTCCAACCGGTGTCTCCAAAATGTCGTGTCCCACTTGTCTCAGGTGTCCCCAGACTCCGGTGTCTCCAAAATGTCGTGTCTCACTTGTCCCCAGACGCCGATGTCTCCAAAATGTTGTATCCCACTTGTCCCCAGACGCAGGTGTCTCTAAAATGTCGTGTCCTCAGACGCCGATGTCTTCAAAATGTCTAGTCCCACGTGTTCCGGAGAAGTGGGACAGGGAGGGACACGTGGTACAAGAGTGCAAAAATACTGGATGTGGGGCTTTGAGTCGGCCCTGCGTTTCGTCACTACTGTCACATGGCCCACGTTAGAAAACAGAGGAGTGTTTTTACTAAAATATAGGCACAAAACCTTACAAAATATGGTTCAAATCTCGGGATCCCAACCCCAGTTGAAATAGCTAAAAAACTCAAAAATGTTCTGCAATCAGATACCAATATACGTTAAAATTGTTCTGTGGGCCGCACGGAATGTATCAGCATGACGGCTTTGGACCACCCTGGTTTACCTTATTAAAAAACTCCCGACTTCGCTGAAATGCGTTTGCGGAACCGTCACGTAGTGCAAATAGTTCATTGATCCAAAAGTTGAAAAGAAAAGAATTTTTTTTAAAACAAAAATGCAGCAACAAGGAGAATACTAGGAAGAAAAAACAACAACAATTTAAGAAAACGACTCATAGACCCATTTCGTGTCCAATAAATAAGTTTCAGTGTTTATTTTCAATAAAGAAGGTTAATATTATACTTGAAGACGAAAAAAAGCGAACATTTTGAACTTTGAGTTGTCTGGTGAAGTCGTAATATTTTAATAAACACCGATAAACTATATAAAATTCTGCTTTAAAAGGTCTGTGGTACCCCTCTCTGCTTGGTGCTCTAAGCACGTGCTTATATTGTTTAATGGTTAATCCGGCGCTGGCTATTCCCATACCCGACATGAGCTGGTAACTAGACAAAGGGCCTGATTCAGCATAATATGCTCAAGTCACTTTTTTGCCTTTCCGCTCTCTCGGCTTAGATAAAAAATTTTACTCCTTACGTAGACGTAGCATGTATTTTTTGTGATCCATTTTATCTTTGGCCCTGTAATGTTTTGAAAAATGTGATTTTTACCCAACCTTGCATGGCGTACATGTATAGTAGGTTAGGTAAGACAGAACGTAAAATTAATCGTAAATTTTGTTGTAAAGCTGCGATGTGATAAATCAACATTCCAATTTCGTAATCAAATTCGGATGCATCTAATTCCATACGTTTAGATATTTTGCTCTTGTCGTTTGTTCTTTTATATCAGTGGTTCTTAAACTTTTTCGAGCGCGACCCAAATCTGAGTTTTATGAATACTCGCGACCCAATCCTAAATAACGCAAAATGTGTTAGTGCAGTTTGACTCAAATACATACAACTATTTATTAGAAAAAGTCCATTGACTCAGTGAGATTGATGAAACTGAAATTTCCTTTCCATTATATATTCAATACACAGCTCTATTTTACTTAACGCAATACGCAAGTTGTCACGGGTATCGAGGCGATTGCGAGCTTAGTTTTGTTAACCGTCAGTGCCAAATATCCTCGCTCGCACAAGTGCCTTGTCGCGAATTGTAGCAGAAAAGGCG